GTAATGTTTTGTTTTTAAAAATAAAATGAACAAATACTATAAACTAAACAACATTTTTCTGAAAATGAACTGAGGGTAGAATTTATAACCCACACATTTTATGATGTAGGCCAAAACTGAGCTTCCTCTTGAAAGACCAGCATCCGCCACTGGTAATAACAGAGCAAATGATTGCTCAGATTAGTAATACAAATGAGTAGTAGTGCAGTCGTGCAAAAGTAGTTAAATGTGTAAAATTGTAGCTGAAAGCAAAAAAAGCTGAATCGTAGCTAAACACTGAATGTCAAAATCATAGCAGAGAGCCAAAAGCACTAGAATAGTAGCTAAAAGTAGAATAATTAGACCAAACAGGAGCAAATCTGTTAAAGTGGAACTGAAGAGATTGCCGTGGTTTGGGTTTTTATTATTAACCTTATGTATTTGATAAGTATAAAAGTTATAAAAAACAAAAATCCTAGCACCTTGTTCATGATCCGTTAGTGGCTTTAACAGTCAAAGTTTGCTGAAGTAGTTTGACACAGAGAAGAAAGAAGTGTATGAGTGAATGTTACTGCTGTTGTGCACACWGTACRKACCATAGAGGGACTGGATGCCTCGGACATCGTCCTGTGGCAGAACGAAGGTGTTTGGGTTTTTGTACGAGTACAGGGGGTACATGAGAGCACCTCGGTCGTTAGAGTGATCCAAGCCCAGAGAGTGGCCAAACTCGTGAGCAGCAACAAGGAAGAGGATGTAGCCTAATGCAAGAAGACATAGAACCATCAAAACCCTGTGCTGACATGGGGACTCAGTCAAACAAGGTGGAGGACAAGAARTCACCTCTTCCTGAGCCGAATATGAATTTCTCATCATCATCAAAGTGAGCATCTCCTCCAATGCCCTGAGAAGGTCCAAATGCATGGGCCAGAGTCCCCTGAGGGCCATCAAAGGGGTAATAATCCCCATGTTCTGGTGGAAGGAGCAGTTTAATGTTACATTTTGTCATCTGGTTGCATAAAAGATATTTAAAAAGCACATTTGTAAGACTAATATAGACTATATAAATATAAGACATGCATGAAATCATTCCTATAATATCCTGTAACTAGCTTCAGATGCAACAAAGCCATCAGTGATATGAAGGACTGTTTGTTGGATTAACTGAAGTCTAACTCAATATTTTCAGTACATTTCCTTCAAAAAGAAAGTAATTGTGTGGTAATGCCAAAATGAAAATCTAGACCTTAAACATACAACAGAATATTTTCATGTATTTACCTCATTAACTGTTTAAAGATTTTACAGAAAGATGTCATTTTTCACAACAGTGAATCAGGGCCACTCAGATAAAGTTAGGAGAAGATGTTTGGGTACAAAACCATGAGATTAAAGTCAAGATGTAYGTAATCATTGGGTGTAGGTTCATGTACATCTTCAACAAATTAAAGTTTGGAGGCAATCCATTTAAAGAGAAATGTTTCAACCAATCAACATTAGTGAACAGATAAATGGTCAGTTTTAGAGTTCAAATTTGAGTCATTCACAACTAGAGATGGGATAAACGGCTGTTTGAAGAGAACCGGAATCTAAAGAGCCAGTCGCCTCAAAGAGTCTTTCATTTTGAATCTGCTCTTACTAAAATTACTAATGATCTTCTCCATGCTGCTGACTCAGGACTTATGTCAATACTCATCCTCCTTGATCTGAGCTCTGCCTTTGACACCATCTCTCATCCTATCCTCATGGACCGACTAATCTCTATCGGCATCTCAGACACCCCCCTGGACTGGTTTAAATCCTATCTTTCTGACCACACTCAGCTCATACAGCTTCAGCTCATACAGCTCAAGTCCTTCCTCTCCCAGTCTTCACCCATTTCCACTGGTGTTCCCCAAGGTTCTGTACTCGGGCCTCTTCTTTTCATAATCTATCTGCTCCGACTTGGCCACATCTTCCGTGAATTTGGTATCCATTTTCACTCTTATGCCGACGACACTCAACTCTACATTTCGACAAAACCGAACTCCACGTTCTCATCCTCAACTCTTGCCAATTGCCTCAGTGAGCTCAATAACTGGTTCTCTAACAATTTCCTCCAATTAAACCTTAACAAAACTGAACTCCTCCTTGTTGGGACAAAAGAACTCCATTTCCAAATCCCAGCATCTTCTCTTCACTCTTAACAACTCCGCTCTTTCCCCCTCGCCTCAGGTCAAGAACCTAGGTGTCATCCTTGACACCACACTTTCTTTCACATCCCACATTAACAACGTGACTCGATCTGCCTACTTTCATCTTCACAACATTAACAATCCCTGTCCTTCACTCACCCCCAGCTCCACTGCCATCCTTGTACACAGCCTAGTAACATCCAGGATTGACTACTGCCACTCCCTACTGTTTGGCCTCCCCAACAAATCCCTTCACAAACTACAGATGGTTCAGAACTCAGCTGCCTGTGTAATCATGCAAACTTCATCCTCTGCCCACATCACTCCAGTCCTACAACAGCTCCACTGGCTCCCAGTTAAARCCCACATCACTCCAGTCCTACAACAGCTCCACTGGCTCCCAGTTAAATCCTGCATCATCTTCAAAATGCTCCTACACACCTTCAAAGCTATCCACAATCTTTCCCCTCCTTACCTGTCTGACCTCCTGAACATTTCCACACCCTCTCCCACTCTCTAAGATCTGCCTCCTCCCTCCACCTCTCAGTACCCCTTGCCCACCTCAGCACCATGGGGAGCAGAGCTTTCAGCCACTCTGCTCCGCAACTCTGGAACTCACTACCTCATGGATTACGCAATACCACCTTTCTCTCCCTGTTGAAGACAGGCCTGAAGACACATCTTTTCAAATTAGCCTACCGCTGTTAATTCCGATTTTCAATGTATGTCGGTTTTTGTTGTCCTCACTTCAATGTTTCTCCCCCACATCCCTATTGTTCAATTTATCTGCATTATTGTACTTTTATTATATGACTGTTCTGTACTCCACACTTACACGTATCTACAGTTTTTTTATTTCATTTAACTTTTTTTCTATTGTACAGTGTCCTTGGGTGTCCTGAAAGGCGCTTTATAAATAAAATTTATTATTATTATTATTATTATTATTATTATTATTATTATTATTATTATTATTATTATTATTATTATTATTATTACTAGACTACTATTTTGTAAGCCAAATAATAATCACATCACATGAATGTCTGCTTCTGTATATTTTATTAAAAGGGTTGAGGATGACATGTTGGTGACTATCATCATCATCATCATTCTTTACAAAAAGGACTTTCTACTTACCCTGACGACCGAAGGAGATCATGATGTCAGCTGTGCCGCTGTAGATCCTTGTGAACCTCAGAGGAGTGACTCTGGCCCACACCTGCAGAGCTTTGTCAATGGAAAAATCCACCTCGTCCGTACGCATGTCTGGTGTGTAGTTCACTATCCTGTGTTCAAGAAGACAGGTTAAAGGTAGTATTGAAAAGATCTGGTACAGTTGTTAGTTTCTGTATTTACTCTCTTGCCGTCCTTCACCTGTATGTGAGGCTCATTTTGTTCCATTTGGYTCTGTCTCCAAAAGTAGTGAAACGAGCTACTTTTTCATCTGGAACACCACAGCGSGGCTTCTTCATCAGCTCCAGGGTTTCAGAATCCAGTGTCCCTGTCACGTTCAGACCAAAGAAGTTCTGCATCTCCATCAGCTTGTTAGTCATGGGGCTGACTCCCCCCCGTCTGGTCGATGGGCCTCTCTCCTCTGTGAGGTTGAAGAACTTCTTCAGGTAGTCCTGTGACACAAGTCAAGACAACTGATTTAGGCTTCATGGAATCCTTCAACAGGATGAGCCGAAAGAAATGCATGAACCTTACCTTTGCAAAGTCTCTATCATCCACTGTAACCTGTGCAACAGGCACACAGGAAGCTGCAGCAGCCAGGCTGAGGAAGAGGAGCGTGCTGAAAGAGTTCATCCTGCCCTCCTTGCTGAGTTAGTCTTGTGTGGCGGCAGTGGAGTCGGCTGTTATAAAGGMAGGCTGCAGGGTGGACGTGTTGCTGGGTGGATGTGTTGAGAAACTACCTTCTTAAGCTGGTGGATCAGGAACTCTTCCATTTATGGATCGTTCCCTTTAAGGTCAGGATGTAATCAGTAACATGCAATGCCTGGCAAAAATAATGCAACCACCGCTCTTTGTTCTTTCAGTTGTTTAATGRTGCGTGTTTAATAAAATGAGACATTCCACAAAATCTTTCTAAATTCCAACCTTATTAAGAAATGATAAGAAAGTAAAAAATTTAAAAGTTGTAATTACAACTGCTCTTTTAGATCAAGTAGAGAAAAAAGTATGGAATCGTGAGAAAACCACTGCGCCATCATACATTGTTTCACCACTAGTGATGATTTATTTTCTGATTCTGAAACAGAGAAAAACATATTTTAAATGTGTCAAATTCAAGACCAAGTCCAGCCTGTGCATGAATTCTGTACAGATCACCAAAAGCCCCCACCTTCAAAGAATGTTTTTTTTTACTTACAGTGGTTTGCAAAAGTATTCATACCCCTTGAACTTTTCCATATTTTGTCACATTACAACCACAAACATAAATAT